TGGATTATCAGGGATTTCTTTTTCGTTCAAATTGGTTTCTTGTATACTTGGAAAAACGCTTGTCTTTAATAAATTGTTGTCATCAAGATTTTGAAATAAATCCAATAGTGATAACGATTTTTGCTGCCTGTTTTCCTTATCTTCCGAGGAAGTTGGACGCGTTGGGGATGCCATAATAACAGTCGAAACTACGTAAATTAAAAATAGTAGTTTTGTTTGGGACAACTCCATTTCTGGAAAGTAAAAAACATTAATCAATTAGTGTTGGTCGTCTTAAGAATTTTGAATTAATTATAGAGAATGTATGCATCCATAAATAAAATGTAGCGGGCGCCAGATTCTATTTTTAGACTTTTTGATCTGTAATAGTACCTACGGGTACGTAAACAAACCCATTTGTCATTATTATGGCCTTGATATGGTATAAAGTTAGTCCTTGGCCATCGTAATCGTAGTGTAAATCCTCAAAAAGGTATTTCTTTTATGCATGATAACTAATTGACTTAATTGCTGTGGATAAGACACATTTTCTTTAGAAATTCTACTGGTTGAACCCGTTTAATGTGAACCCACGAGAAAAATAATTTCCAATCGCCGTTTACAGCGGTTTAAACGGATTTAAAGAGGATGCCATAATTAAATAAATAAATAATTGTAATACTGCCCTGTTCAATCCGGTACGATGCTGTGTGGTCAACCGTTTGCATGACCCCTTGCACTGTATTCTGTTTTGTAATTTCACTTCAAATTACTTGTAAAATTTACGACTATACTTTAAGGGTCGATTGTAATTCCATTTATCACCTGTTTAACTTAAACTTAAGTAGTTTCAGCCTTTTTTTATTGTTTTTGTTATTTTTTCTATTGAGTTACGAAATTTTGAGTTAAATTGTAAAATAAATAGCATTCTAACTTTCTCTGCAGATAAATTAATTTATTACCGTGTTTAAGACACTGTAAACTGAGATTAAGAAGCTGCTCAATTAAAGAAATTAGTTTTGCACCAAAAAATACAAAATTTGATTTTGAAAATTATATGAAAAATAAAAAAGTTTTACCACTTTTTTTGCCGTAGTCGTAAAATGGTTGACCTTTTTTATTTTTTTATCAGATTTTTGATATCTACAATTTATTTTGATTATATCTTTCCAACGAAGTGAAATTTTCTTAGATGCATAAAATTGTGGATGTTTTTTAAAATAGGCATTTATGAAAATCAATTTATAATTTATTTTGAAGGCAATAAGTTATCTCTATCACCACCAAATGTACTGGGTGTTTAATTTTTGTTTTCATGTACCTTTTTTATATCCCATCTATCAGAATCCGATTTAATCTGAAATTAAAATCTGCAACAATGATGCCTCGCACGTTGAACACGTACGTCAAATAATAATTATAATTATAACTGGTGCTTGGTGATAGTATTAATAATTTTAGAGGTTCGTTTTAAGACCATCGAATTGCAACCGTAGGCACACTTGATATACAGTTAAGGCAAAATCTTCACCGAACATAGAAATTGCACATTTCTTAATTTTAGAGGTTCGGTTTAAGACCATCGAATTGCAACCGTAGGCACACTTGATATACAGTTAAGGCAAAATCTTCACCGAACATAGAAATTGCACATTTCTTAGTGATAGACCAGACTAGACTCTCAAAATCTTTTGAACAAAGGGTTGAAAGATGGCGGTCTGCGAAATTCAGCTCCTTTTTAAATTTTCGGAACGGTTGGGGCTGTAAAAAGTATTGTTACGGATTCTGGTAAAGTGTTTTTAATGTTTTGCGAACAATGCCATCATCAAACGTCTTCTTAGATGATGATACAGAAGTACCATTTCGTGCTGTTATCTGCTAGTTTGGGCCCTTGGCTTATCCAAATATAAATTCACGAAGAAATGCCACTAATATTAACGATGTAGTTGGTAAGTTTTTAGCTGTTTATAATAATTGTTTTTAAATGATATTTTCCAAAAACAGCGAATACATGTACTTGGCCATTGTTGTTGTGGCAAGGTATTTGTTACACCATGTATGATATTCATAAATTTTAGCCAAATTCTTTACTAAACATGTATTTCCTTTCCTATTTTATAAAGATAAAACCAAACTATGTGGGGTTGGGGTGTCGTAAAAAAAACTTCAATTTTTTTATACACACGAAGGGTAATCCTTAAAGAAATTACTATCATTCCTTAACAAAGTAAAACAAAAAAATAGGTTTTTATTGTATTTATAAGTTAACCATTTAATATTTATATTTACATTATTTGCTTATAATGTAGTAATAAATTAATATTCTTAATTATCCTAGGATTTAAAGTTCTAAAGTGGCAATAAGTACCTATAAAAACATTTTGTTTAGGTTGACAAACTTTGGTTTATACAAGACTTTTATAGGGGGGGGAGTTATATTATATTATATTATGATATAAATANTAGGGGGGGGAGTTATATTATATTATGATATAAATAAATGCAATAATAGTGATTTTCCAAACACTTTGGTCTAATATACAAGTACAATGGTAGCAACGAACATGATTATTGAATTTAGGAAATAATTATGTAATTTACAAATCAATATTAATAAATGCATAAGTCAAAATCGTCAAGGATAAATGTTTTGCAAAATATCCCCGTATATAGAATTGTAGGTGTCTCTTAAAATATAAACGTCTTCAGGTTTTCCATTGAAACTAAATTTCCCGGGTATCCTATAGACGGGCGAATTGGCTAAAGTCTGAGGCTTTGGAGTGGTTTTAACAGGTGGGGGTTGAGGTAGTGGGGCGATGTCCTGGAACGGGTCAATTGCCCCGCTCCATTGATAAATCGCGGTCGGTTTTCCGTTTGCAAGAAAATTAACGGGCAAATTAACAAATTGAGAGATTGGGGTTGGTGGGGGAGCTGGCTGAGAGACGTATCCCAAACCTGGAACGAACATATAAGGATGGGGGGGTAACCGGATGTAATAAATAGGGGAATTGAATGGATTATCAGGGATTTCTTTTTCGTTCAAATTGGTTTCTTGTATACTTGGAAAAACGCTTGTCTTTAATAAATTGTTGTCATCAAGATTTTGAAATAAATCCAATAGTGATAACGATTTTTGCTGCCTGCTTTCCTTATCTTCCGAGGAAGTTGGACGCGTTGGGGATGCCATAATAACAGTCGAAACTACGTAAATTAAAAATAGTAGTTTTGTTTGGGACAACTCCATTTCTGGAAAGTAAAAAACATTAATCAATTAGTGTTGGTCGTCTTAAGAATTTTGAATTAATTATAGAGAATGTATGCATCCATAAATAAAATGTAGCGGGCGCCAGATTCTATTTTTAGACTTTTTGATCTGTAATAGTACCTACGGGTACGTAAACAAACCCATTTGTCATTATTATGGCCTTGATATGGTATAAAGTTAGTCCTTGGCCATCGTAATCGTAGTGTAAATCCTCAAAAAGGTATTTCTTTTATGCATGATAACTAATTGACTTAATTGCTGTGGATAAGACACATTTTCTTTAGAAATTCTACTGGTTGAACCCGTTTAATGTGAACCCACGAGAAAAATAATTTCCAATCGCCGTTTACAGCGGTTTAAACGGATTTAAAGAGGATGCCATAATTAAATAAATAAATAATTGTAATACTGCCCTGTTCAATCCGGTACGATGCTGTGTGGTCAACCGTTTGCATGACCCCTTGCACTGTATTCTGTTTTGTAATTTCACTTCAAATTACTTGTAAAATTTACGACTATACTTTAAGGGTCGATTGTAATTCCATTTATCACCTGTTTAACTTAAACTTAAGTAGTTTCAGCCTTTTTTTATTGTTTTTGTTATTTTTTCTATTGAGTTACGAAATTTTGAGTTAAATTGTAAAATAAATAGCATTCTAACTTTCTCTGCAGATAAATTAATTTATTACCGTGTTTAAGACACTGTAAACTGAGATTAAGAAGCTGCTCAATTAAAGAAATTAGTTTTGCACCAAAAAATACAAAATTTGATTTTGAAAATTATATGAAAAATAAAAAAGTTTTACCACTTTTTTTGCCGTAGTCGTAAAATGGTTGACCTTTTTTATTTTTTTATCAGATTTTTGATATCTACAATTTATTTTGATTATATCTTTCCAACGAAGTGAAATTTTCTTAGATGCATAAAATTGTGGATGTTTTTTAAAATAGGCATTTATGAAAATCAATTTATAATTTATTTTGAAGGCAATAAGTTATCTCTATCACCACCAAATGTACTGGGTGTTTAATTTTTGTTTTCATGTACCTTTTTTATATCCCATCTATCAGAATCCGATTTAATCTGAAATTAAAATCTGCAACAATGATGCCTCGCACGTTGAACACGTACGTCAAATAATAATTATAATTATAACTGGTGCTTGGTGATGGTATTAATAATTTTAGAGGTTCGTTTTAAGACCATCGAATTGCAACCGTAGGCACACTTGATATACAGTTAAGGCAAAATCTTCACCGAACATAGAAATTGCACATTTCTTAGTGATAGACCAGGCTAGACTCTCAAAATCTATTGAACAAAGGGTAACACCCCTCAAAAACTTTAAATTGCCTTTATTGAGCTTCAGTACATTACTTAATAATTTATATGAAAAGATGGTTAAAGGTATTTGGTTCCCTTTAATAAGGGTACATCATCATCATCATAGGGTCGTCAGTCCTAAGACTGGTTGGACACGTACCTCCACTCTTTCCTATCCTGAGCTAAGCTTCGCATTTCCCTAAAACTAGAACAGCCCACATCCTTAACTATTTGCAAACAGTAATCTAATCTAGGTCTATCTCTACCCCTCCTAACCCCTGTTTTTGCCTCTAATATGTCTCTGACTAGACCTTCATGTCTAAGAAGGTGTCCTACCAACCTATATCGCCTATTTTTCATTGACTTCCATAGAGTCCTCTGTTCTCATATTCTTTCCAATACCTCTTCATTTCTAACCTTTTCTACCCACGATATCCTCATCATCCGCCTATAACACCACATTTCGAACGCTTCTAACCTTTTCTTTTCCGCCGCTCCCACTGTCCATGTTTCACACCCGTACAACGCCGTGCTCCAAACATACACCTTTAACAACCTTTTTCGAATTTCTAAATTAACCGTTCGCGAGCATAGAAGTGACTTCTTTTTATTAAAGGCGACACGACCCTGCGCTATCCTCTGCTTTATATCCCTACTACTCCTTCCATCCTGACTTATCTGACTTCCTAGGTATCTAAAATCAGCCACTTCTTCTAATTTTTCGTCTCCTATCTTTATATTCGCTCTTTCCCTACTTTTTCTTCCCTTGCATACCAGTATTTTAGTTTTACTTTTATTTATTTTCATACAGTACTGATCTGTCAGTACCGCTTCCATTTTATTTAAAGCTATCTCTAGGTCCTCCTTGCTAGATGCTAATACTGCTATATCATCTGCAAATCTAAGCATACTAATCTTTTGCCCTTGCACATCTATCCCTACAGTTGTACTGTCTTTAATGATGTTGATGGCGTCTTCGATGTATAGATTAAAAAGTAGCGGTGACAGTGTGCATCCCTGCCTGACTCCCTTCCTAATATTTACTTCTCTACGTTGCATCCCCAGCTCTATAACTGCCTGTTGCTCTTTATACAAACTAAGTATCACTCTTCTATCTTTGTAACACATCCCTACATTATTTAATATATATTTAATATCTTGTCCCATTTAACATTGTCAAAAGCAATAAGGGTACAAGTAATAGAAAATTCTTATGTTCTGTTATCTACTCGCCGCTAGTGTATGTGATCTTATCGATGCTATATACGCTAGTGGCGAATTGATAGCCCAACATAAGGTTACTTCTCTTTCTAAAAATACGTCATATTTTCATATAAGCAATATATAAATGCAATTTAATGCAAAAGATTTTGCGAATTTGTCTAGTTTAAGTCAGTTTTCGGAGAAGCAGGTCATATTTTCATATAGAAGTGACTAAAAAAACATATTCCACACTTTCACCAAATTAAAAAGAAAAAATACCGACAAAATATTTGTAATGCGTAATTTATGTGTGCAGCAAACATTTTGCCTTGTCTGTATATACGTTTATATCGACTAATTATTGTTTAAATTTTGCCTTGCACCGTGTAAATCGAACTAAATCTAACAGGTCCCCTTTCAAAAACAAATCAGCTTTTTATTTGCCGAAAACAAAAACGCAACGTTAGCAGATAACTGTTCATCAGTTTATGAAGATGTTAATGATTTCTTAAATCCGGGCGTCGCTCACGCGATTCTTCTCTTTTTTTTAATAGTAATTACAATGGCGTTTGTTTCAAGACTCGGGTACTACCTGTTGTAAATAATGAATCTGAATTTTACTGAAGCTTTCGAAAAGAAATTATTTCAACGGCATGGTAAATGAATTCTGTTTTATTTTGGTTTGTTTTGCGATTCCTACAAGCCCAATACACCATCGGAATTGAAAACAATGTACAGTGCATTTCATAAATCGAAACTTAATACGTCATGTAAACAGCTGACGAACGGAATTAGAAGACATTGCTCTCTCTCTTTTTTTTAATAGCATTTTTCTTATTCTTTTCAATGTATGATAGCAATATACTCATATGAGATGGCTTATAGGGGCAGGAGGGGTTTCCTGTGTGTACCCACCGAGATGTACTTGATTTAATTTACAACCTCTTCGTAATGCATAATTTTATGCATTGTAAGTTTTAAAAAGATCGAAATCTGATTATTAATCATTAGCGTTAGTGAAATTATCTTAAATTAATAAAAATGAGACGGATCGAATGATATAAAAGTGCGGCACGTGCCCCCGTCCGAACGATCGCGGCTACTCTTCTTTAATTATTGTAATTACCAAAGGCTGCTGAATTGTTAGGCGCTATATAAAGAAGTCGTCGAGCGAGAAATTCCACTAATGAGAACTCCAGTTTTACGGTAATTATTGACGCCTTGCAACCGTTATTGTCCTATATAATCACCTAACCGTTTCATTAATTAGTGATATATCGCATACTTTAAAAATATTTTTATTGTACGTTTTGCTTTTATTGTTTTTTTTTTCTTCTTCTGAAATTCATACCAGATCATTGTATAAAATTTGCGTTCTTAAAATTTCTGTAGTGTCTATTGTAGCCGATTTGCGACGTATACGCTTAAGTCTATTACAACCGATTTGCTACGTATACACTTAATCACCAATAAACAAATGTTTTTACAAAAGTGGTCTGGAATCATAGGCCATTTAAACGAAACCTTATTTTTTCTATGTTTAAACACTGTGTGTATAATAAATCAAATCTGAAATAGGTAACAATTTTTGCTGGAAGAATTTTTTGATTAAACTTTTTGAACATATTGCGAACTTTTTGGGTCACCCTGTATATAGGGGACATAGGTATAGATGTAAGGGACAATACAGCATTACCACGCCTGCTTTCCTGAATTAATAGAACTAAAATTTAATAAACAATATATTTTTATTATATTATTGGTCGATTGTTTAAATTACAAGTTATACGAACAATCCTTTAAGTTTCCTTTGAATACTGTTTTAAAATGTCTTGAGTTAATTATTTTGATGGATTACAATTGGCTAATGAACCTAAAGATAAGAAAAAATGTATTCGCGTGTAAATTGTTTAGAATGGTATTGTTATTATTTCTGAGCTAGTTTCCATGGTGAGTCGTTATGGGGTAATAAAAGGGGTAATAAAAGAGTGTAATGGAACAGTTAATTATCTTAAAATAAAAGCTGTTTCACAAATTCATTATTGCCCATTAAAAAAAAAATTGAATAGAAACAAAAGAGTTTATTGATGCATATTAAATTTTATCATTTTGTTATGTTTAGCGTTAAACTTGCTGTAAGTTAGTATATGCGGGTAACATTTCATAGGTTCTCATTGACTAAAAAGACGGTTAGGTACACCACCGTTGCTAATCCTGGATTTTCCAACAGGAAGTGGTTGTTAATAAGAAGATTAAAAAAATAAACATTAACTACGCGCGTTAGGTGCAAATAACAGTTCTATCTTTAATTCTCTTGTTAGCACTTGCGAGTAGATAATTTTTCAATAAACGGTTTCTTGTGTTTGCCTTTCTAATTCATGTACGAAAAAATAAAGTGTTGTCGTCCGAACTAGCTTTGAACCGTGTTATTATACTTTTAAAAACAGATTTCTTCTTTCGAATTCAAAACACATTTTACTAGATACCTATGCGAAAACATTCGGTTGTTTGTACGTGATTTTTATCTTTTTCGAGTACTAACTAGTAATCTAATTCGTCTAGCTAGTAGGTTATTTAATTAAAACAGTGACTTACAATTAGATCACCTCTGACAACCTTTGAAATTTGTAAAGAAATCAAAGTTGTATAATTTATTCATATTAAAACTTAATCGACATTTTTAACGTACTTTGATAATGTATCTCAGCAGAAGGCGAAACGTCAATCGGGTTTTATACCAAAAACTTGATTTCTTTGCATGTAATTCACATTTAGTGTCTATAAAAATTTGACATCAATAAAAGGTGTCTCTTTGCAAGGACTAAGCTTAAACATAATAAAAAACGCACATAAAATATTAATTTCACTTTCGTTTGTTAAAAAAATATTTACTTATTTTTTTCAAGTATTCCAAACAGCTTACGTATGATTGGAAGACAGATTTCAAGGAAAATATTATTTGAATGATCATACTTGTAATGCCAACCTACACTTCTTTCTTTAAATAAATTAATTATTCTAGTAGCAGATAGCAGTCGTCTACCTCAACAAGTAATATTGAAATATTTCGTTTCTTTTGCACTATGCATCATAAATGAGGTGAATGAATATTACCCTTTTTTCAGCCAAGGCTATTACTTTTGCAAAAAAAAATAAAATATTAATATCGATTGTACATTGACAATCGGGATTCTAAAAGGTGACTCTTTTATTTATTTATTTGTGATTAGGTTTTTCAAAAACTTTTTCAAAATTCAAGAAACCCTTATTCGTCGGTTGGTCTATACACTAGTGGAGAGTTGATAACCGAACGTAGGGATATTGTATTCGAAGCAAACATCAGAGGGCGGTATCATCTTTTTAAAAATTTTACAAAATGGTAAATTCGTACAAATAACTTCAGACATCTTTTCATATAATATACATACATCACAGTTAATTCTTTTTGGGTATATGTTGAAAAATGTAAGAGAAAAGTAACATCGTCCCTCTCTCTCGTACTCTTCTAAAATTTTGCTAGCCAAAAATTCAAATGATGACTTTGACATTTATAATTGCGAGAAAAAGAATTAAAATTGTTACTTTCCTTGAATTGAATAATAAATTTCAAAATGCATCAGTTACACAAATAAAAATGTCATTGCAGGCGACAGGTACTAATCAATTTTAATATAAACATTAACTACCTACATAAATAATAAAAATGATACTAACCTTCTATTAGAAGTTCCAATCAGCGATACAGTCAATTAATTAATTGTACTCCCGAAGAGCGATTAAATAGCGGTCGATAGACGTCCTTGTGCGGCCTTGGATTTCAAATACGACCCGGCAAATTGTTGAGACGTTTTTGTAAGATAGATGGTACAGTCCGTAATACCAAGTGTGTGGTGTGGAGAGAAATGTACTTTTTATTATTTGGCGAAAAGCCCATGAAGACGAGACAACCCACGACCACTACTTCATACCGGACAGACAGTAACAAAAGTAAAGTCCGGACTACTGAAGACCTAACACCGTCTAAAACTTATTATAACGAACGATAAGTCGATCAACAGACACACACACACTACAAACTCCTATTGGCATGTAGGATTGATTGGTGGTACTTAGGTCGCGTACAAGAAATGGTACCGTTCAACGACGATGGTACTGCTTTATAAGAAGAATGAAATGGAGTAAGCGGGGAGGCTGGTGACCAAAATTCACTCAATTTGATTGACAAGAAAGAAAAGTCGAAAATATCACGTACTCTTTTAATCGGGAGTCATTCGCTACAAGCGAGATTATTTTACCCAAGATTACTATTATTAATAGTTCTGACCCATATAATGGTCCATCCTGAATATTAACTTAATCCAATACAACCTATTTAAAACCATAAACATTCGCCTTTGCATAATTCAATACGCTCTACTTAAACCACTAATTATTGCTAGTATTGGGGGCAGTCCCTCTAGACTACGTCGAAAGGAAGGTAAAGGGTGGAAGTCCTTTTTTAGTTTCCTTTTAGGACGGAATGAAAACAGACGTTTGTCTAAGTGATCCAAGGATATCATAGAAAAAGTTGGCAGGCGGACCGGGAATCGAACCGGATTCATGCCGATTGCTAGGAAACAATCTAAACCTCTAGGCTATGTCGCTTGGTCCTTAAAATATAAAACGATTCAGGATTTTTACATAAAGTGTCTTGAGCTAACTGAATAGAAGTTATTGTCAACTTTGACTGACCAGCAGGGCTCATTAGGTCCGTTGAAGGTTCCTTTAAGTACGGAACCCTAAGTTATATTTGGGTTACATTATAGCACATAGTTTTGATTGTTTCAAAAGATCCCTAAGGTTGTGGGTCATGCATGAAAACGTGGTTCTTAAAACTGATTTTTTTTTGGTGATTTTATTTCTACCTTATTGCTTACATAAAATTTCTCCCAAAAATTTTAATTCTTTTTTAAATTTCGTACGTGAAAGCATTAACACATATAATTAGCTACGTCCGGAATTAATTTTTGGAGGTTTACTAGGCTAATGGGTCTAATTTATCAGGTACCTTCAACAGTCTAACGCCAATTAAGCGTTTTTAAACCATGATCTCCTAATAGTAATGCTAATAATAATAAGAATAATTTATTATTTATCTAAGCATGCAATAATAATAACGGTATACCGAAACCGAATGAAAAACGAAAGCACCCACCACGTTGGAGCGCCTTAATGACGTTGATGCTTTTAACTTTACAGCGAGCACTCACTGATTCCTAAAAAAAAATTGCAAATGCGCTTAGTCGTTCTCACGAAATGGGTCGAATTATTATTTTAGCTAATTGATTCTTTCAGTGCCCCGGGCCGTTCCGTTCAAAAATATTAAAAAAAAAAAAGGACAGGGGCCTTAATTATGTCTGTGCCACAACCGAAGACGTAAAACTTCGTACGTTTTTGTTGTATTGTTTTTTTAATATATTTTGTCAGAAATTTCATTGAAAATTTTTAAAGCAATATGGAGAAAGCAACATTTTTTATATATCTAACTAACAGGCGCTACTTTTGATAATTAGGGTAATTTCTTGATTGAAAATTGCTAATCTGGCGTATTTAAGGTGGTAAACAACAAATTGAAAAAAGGGGTAGTCTAAATATCTACATGCGCGTGTATAATTGGTTGCATACATCTTAATGAAATGTTATGACATATGACTATTACATTTTTACCTGACGTGCATAATTGGTTGCATATGGGTGATATATGCGGTTTTTAGTAAAGTTTATTAGTTGATAAGTTAATAAGTACTTTGAGAAATTTCTTGAACATCAAGAAATCCTTTCCGCAATGGTTTATACTATATGAAATATTATTCTGAAAATTAATTTTTGAATTTTTTATCCACTACACGCTACCTCAAATTAATGAGGGAAAAAAATATCTAAATTGTATGTATGTTTAATCATAGTATATTCAGTATATAGTTACATTAGTTCGACGAATCGTTAACCTTGTAGGTCGGTTGGTCGTGGTCACCTCTCGTAGTTTAATGGTCAGAACATTGGTGCGTAAAGCCAAAGGTCCCGGGTTCGATTCCCGGCGGGGGTGTGACAACAGCAACAATTTTTCCCTCATTAATTTGAAGTAGCGTGTAGTGGGTAAAAAATTCAGAAATTAATTTTCAGAGTAATATTTCATATTAAACTAACTCACTTCTAAAAAATGTCTAAATTGTATGTATGTTTATACTATGTTTTAAATCTTTATTAGACCAATATGGTTTTTAGATGATATTAAGCAGAAAGGTATCTTTGACTGATGCCAAGTGTCATTAACACCACCTGCAAAAAGCTGTAACAACCATTGTATTTATAATGCATTATCGCACATACACTTTTAACGTATGTACCCAAGTAACTTTGTAAAGTACAATAAGCCCAAGTTTGGCCACATCATTTGCATATCTTGTTGTGGAATGTTTAATGTTTCCATTAGTAAGTAGTTTTGTGCAAACTAGTTTTCGCTGTCTTAATCGATTCTAATTTATTTACCATAACTAATTTAACTATAGTTGAAGATGCTTTTTTTTTTTATTTCGGAAAACATAAAAGAAATAGCGTCCCATACAAAATAAGAGCCGACTCTAATGTAAAAAAGATATTGATTATATTAAATTAAATAGGTATTATTTAAAAAATATTAATCCGTTTTTTTCTGCTGTTAGCTAATAAATTGTAAGTTTGTCACTAATCTGGGAGTTCAAACAGATCAAGAGGAATTAAATTGTGTAGTTGTTAGATTATTCATTTATTTTCTTATTAGTGCAGTAAATTTATACACTTATATACATATGTATACTTGTGTTGGTGATATGATAACCGTGTTACTACAGTTACTTTCACCTAAAGAGTGGAGAGCATTAAAAATATGAAATGGCTTCCTTGATGAAGGTCAAAATTGGTTTTTACATCGAAGTCTTCTGTCAATTAATAACGGTTCATAAATTGCATTAAAAATGTGGCGAATGTTTTTTTTTTGTACGCCTCTCACATTTGGATCCTTATCTTGAACAAATTAGCACCAAAATTAATTTACCGGAAAATATACAATATCTATAATAGCAGCTACTACCAACTCCATAAATAGCATTTTTGAATTAATCTGAGAATAAAGAAGTATGTCAGCTATTTTAAAATGTGTTGATCTAGTTTAATTGCTATTAATATGCTAATAAAATCCGTTTAATTGGAAACTATTTTAGCAAAATATTTAAAATAACCGGAAGTTGTAAATGCCACTTAATAATAATGGGTAATCAGTGATTGACTCTGGTCTTCTAATGGACTTTTGAAAATACTTTTTTCAAATTTTATTTTTTTATTTATTTATCAATAAATTACGTAATGATAATTGAGGAGGGGAAAGCCCAGTCGTCCTATCTGGTCCTCTTACATGGGGGGCAGGTGTTTGGGGAGATAGATGTTAACTTTACTTATCAATATCAGAATTTATATAAAATTTAATCAATATTGGAAATTAAAAAACATCTTTTTAATTGAAGTCTAAAATTTTTGCAATTACGTAGTGGTGGTAAGAGGGTAGAAGGGTTCATATCACGCGTTACTTTGCCGTTACGTGGGGAAGGGGGAGTTTAAATATTAATTAATTATTTTTTTTTATATAGCAGTATTAGCATCTAGCAAGGAGGACCTAGAGATAGCTTTAAATAAAATGACAGATCAGTAGGTACTGTATGAAAATAAATAAAAGTAAAACTAAAATACTGGTACGCAAGGGAAGAAAAAGTAGGGAAAGAGCGAATATAAAGATAGGAGACGAATTATTAGAAGAAGTGGCTGATTTTAGATACCTAGGAAGTCAGATAAGTCAGGATGGAAGGAGTAGTAGGGATATAAAGCAGAGGATAGCGCAGGGTCGTGTCGCCTTTAATAAAAAGAAGTCACTTCTATGCTCGCGAACGGTTAATTTAGAAATTCGAAAAAGGTTGTTAAAGGTGTATGTTTGGAGCACGGCGTTGTACGGGTGCGAAACATGGACAGTGGGAGCGGCGGAAAAGAAAAGGTTAGAAGCGTTCGAAATGTGGTGTTATAGGCGGATGATGAGGATATCGTGGGTAGAAAAGGTTAGAAATGAAGAGGTATTGGAAAGAATAGGAGAACAGAGGACTCTATGGAGGTCAATAAAAAATAGGCGAGATAGGTTGGTAGGACACCTTCTCAGGCATGAAGATCTAGTCAGAGACATACTAGAGGCTGAAACAGGAGTTAAGAGGTGTAGAGGTAGACCTAGATTAGATTACTGTTCGCAAATAGTTAAGAATGTGGGTTGTTAAGGATTTGGACTCTTCTAGTTTTAGGGAAATGCGAAGATTAGCTCAGGGTAGGAAAGAGTGGAGGTACGTGTCCAACCAGTCTTAGGACTGACGACCTTATGATGATGATGATGATGATGATGATATTTGTTTTAATGTTTTTTGAAAAAAATACCTCCCCCTCTTTATACATAATATTGCGTTGGTTGGGTCATAGTTTGTATATGAAACGAACATGATCGAGGAAACTGCGAGCAGCCACAAAACGTTCTAGTTATTTGTAGCAAAAAGCGATCAGAACGTGGAAAAAAAGCCTGAATTAAATTCTGATAAGCGTCAATAGGTTTATAGAATATTTATAGCGGTGTATTGGTAATTAAGAACATTTTTAACATCGTCGTGACATAATACCAGTCTGTAATCGGTCCATTCTTGAGCAGCATCTTCCGTTAGTCATCTCTATTGAAAAATACAACGAGATATTTAAGTAGACGAGAGTTTGTCTGCCGCAACATCTATGCAGTTATAATTGTTATGGTAGGTACTTTTTTGTCGAAATTCTAGAGCTGTCGATCGTTTTAATAAATAATATCATGTAGAACTCGCAAACCGCTACACATATAATAATATCTATTTATTTATTGTATCAATTAAAGTAGACCTGTTTCCATTGACACACTGCTCTATAAATGGTGCAAAGGACACGAGGAAAAAAGGTCCTTCGGATAATGTGGGTATGGAGGGGGTGGGGGGGCAAAAATAGCATATGGACCATAGGAGGGAATTCTTTGGTTTTCCTGACTAGGAGAAGTCAGTAAGATTATCGTGGAACTCAGAGCGTTTTGAATTAATATAGTCTAAAATTTGCAACCGCCCACACCCTTGGTTCTTGCAAAATAAAAAGCTGACTACGTCCCTGTCTTGTAGAAAAGCATTCACGAGTATCATGTCGTGAATTGCATTTTTTTTTTTTATTTATATTAATAACTAGCGACCCGCCCCAGCTTCGCACGGGTGCAATGCTGATACTAAATATGTAAATTTTTGAGAAGGGGAAATCTTCAAAAGATACCCCCTGAACATACTAAATATACTGCAGAATGAATTTATATACAACATTCACAGTTGTTTTGTCATTAGACAATACATTACAATATGCATTTTAAATCTGTAATATCTTCGAAAATATTCATTTAAATTACATGCTGTAAAGGGGCATGTTGATTTATATTAAATGCACTATGTATTTAAGGTACTTGATTGGATAAGAATTAATGCTGTATTGCTTAAAATGGCTTCGTAAATAAGCCATTATTTCTCATAAAAAGTAAAAGATAAAAATGGCTATTGTGGGTTATCCGTAAGAGATAGACATATACCATCGCGGACTTTTTGTAGACCCTTTTAAGATGTACAATATTGTAGTACATTATTTTGATCAATTCTCGTAGGGTTCAGCCAGCGTTTGCAATGTCAGCGCAAAAAATGTGTTTATTTACGACATCACATTAGAAACCTCTAAAATTATCAGTGTTTCCCTACTATATTATGCATGTATTATACATATAAACCTTCCTCTTGAATNAATTTTATAGTTGAAAATTATCGGGGTTCAGGTTCAACCCCCTGTTTAGAAACCTTGTTAATAATTTTTTAATAAATTGATTTCTCCCTTATTGAAATGAGCTGAAAGTATTAAAATGTATTAAAGTTGTTCCAAGGCATTGCTGATAAGAATTTTATAGTTGAAAATTATCGGGGTTCAGGTTCAACCCCCTGTTTAGAAACCTTGTTAATAATTTTTTAATAAATTGATTTCTCCCTTATTGAAATGAGCTGAAAGTATTAAAATGTATTAAAGTTGTTCCAAGGCATTGCTGATAAGAATTTTATAGTTGAAAATTATCGGGGTTCAGGTTCAACCCCCTGTTTAGAAACCTTGTTAATAATTTTTTAATAAATTGATTTCTCCCTTATTGAAATGAGCTGAAAGTATTAAAATGTATTAAAGTTGTTCCAAGGCATTGCTGATAAGAATTTTATAGTTGAAAATTATCGGGGTTCAGGTTCAACCCCCTGTTTAGAAACCTTGTTAATAATTTTTTAATAAATTGATTTCTCCCTTATTGAAATGAGCTGAAAGTATTAAAATGTATTAAAGTTGTTCCAAGGCATTGCTGATAAGAATTTTATAGTTGAAAATTATCGGGGTTCAGGTTCAACCCCCTGTTTAGAAACCTTGTTAATAATTTTTTAATAAATTGATTTCTCCCTTATTGAAATGAGCTGAAAGTATTAAAATGTATTAAAGTTGTTCCAAGGCATTGCTGATAAGAATTTTATAGTTGAAAATTATCGGGGTTCAGGTTCAACCCCCTGTTTAGAAACCTTGTTAATAATTTTTTAATAAATTGATTTCTCCCTTATTGAAATGAGCTGAAAGTATTAAAATGTATTAAAGTTGTTCCAAGGCATTGCTGATAAGAATTTTATAGTTGAAAATTATCGGGGTTCAGGTTCAACCCCCTGTTTAGAAACCTTGTTAATAATTTTTTAATAAATTGATTTCTCCCTTATTGAAATGAGCTGAAAGTATTAAAATGTATTAAAGTTGTTCCAAGGCATTGCTGATAAGAATTTTATAGTTGAAAATTATCGGGGTTCAGGTTCAACCCCCTGTTTAGAAACCTTGTTAATAATTTTTTAATAAATTGATTTCTCCCTTATTGAAATGAGCTGAAAGTATTAAAATGTATTAAAGTTGTTCCAAGGCATTGCTGATAAGAATTTTATAGTTGAAAATTATCGGGGTTCAGGTTCAACCCCCTGTTTAGAAACCTTGTTAATAATTTTTTAATAAATTGATTTCTCCCTTATTGAAATGAGCTGAAAGTATTAAAATGTATTAAAGTTGTTCCAAGGCATTGCTCATAAGAATTTTATAGTTGAAAATTATCGGGGTTCAGGTTCAACCCCCTGTTTAGAAACCTTGTTAATAATTTTTTAATAAATTGATTTCTCCCTTATTGAAATGAGCTGAAAGTATTAAAATGTATTAAAGTTGTTCCAAGGCATTGCTGATAAGAATTTTATAGTTGAAAATTATCGGGGTTCAGGTTCAACCCCCTGCTTAGAAACCTTGTTAATAATTTTTTAATAAATTGATTTCTCCCTTATTGAAATGAGCTGAAAGTATTAAAATGTATTAAAGTTGTTCTAAGGCATTGCTGATAAGAATTTTATAGTTGAAAATTATCGGGGTTCAGGTTCAACCCCCTATTTAAGAACCTTGTTAATAATTTTTTTAAAAAAATGATTTCTTCCTTATTAAACCAACTGAAAGTACCAAAATGTATTAAAGTTGTTCTAAGGCATCGCTGATAAGAATTTTAAAGTTGAAAATTATCGGGGTTCAGGTTTAACCCCTGTTTAGAACCTTGTTAATAATTTTTTAATAAATTGATTTCTCCCTTATTGAGATGAGCTGAAAGTATTAAAATGTATTAAAGTTGTTCTAAGGGATCACTGACAAGAATTTTATAGTTGGAAGTTACCAGGGTGTACTTTCAGCCCCCTATTTAAAAACCTTATTTGTACTTAATGAGAAATGATTTTTTGTTTCTTATTAAATAATTTAATGTACCAAAGTGTAATAAAATAGTCGTGGCTGGGCACAAACTAAATATATGTGGCTAAGACATACTAGTTAATATTTTAAAACCCTTTCTTGAAAACTGAGTTTTTAATAAAGAAATTGGAGCTACTACTACTACTACATTAACGATGTGAATACTTTGCTGTACAGTGGGTTGCCTACAAATGAAGGATATTTTTAAAATTTACTATTTTAAATTCAAATTATTATAGTACATTAGTGGGAAATTAAATAGTTGCGCTATAGTCTAGATAAAAAAGGAAATGTTACAGTATGAATGGAAATTTGTAACAAATTTTTTCCATTTTAATAAAATCTATCTAAATTTAATTGGTACATAAGCAATCTAAGTATCATAGCATTAAACGCTGTTGATATAAATAAAAGTTTTTCACTTTATTTTGGATTTGGATATGTAAGTATTTGTACGTTATCCACTATACATAACGATTTTTTTATACGATAAAACGTCTCATAATGTGAACAGCATATTAATGAATTATCCTAGGCAAACTTTTGCTTGTGGAAATGAATTACTATAGGTCTTAATTTTTTATTTATGTATACTCATTAGATACGTACACTACATACTCTACAGTTTGTTAATTACTTTTTATTTTGTTTTTAATATATGGAGTAAGGTTTACAGTTATATTCATTCTTCTAAAAGAGATTTTAAGAATTATTAAAACTTGTTCATATTTTTTTTGTTAATTATGTTTTTGTTTTTTTACAGTTTTCCTGCAACCAAAAAGATAACGTGTCTGATGATTTAATGAAGGAGCAACGTTAAGATGGATAATGGTGAGTAAATAATAAGTTTTGGTTCACTAGATTCATAAGGACATTTTAAGAATTTATTATTATATTAATTAATTATTAAATTGAAAAAGATGAAATTTTGTCAAACAAAGTAACAATATATTCTGAGGATAAGACAGGCAAAGACAGTAAATAAAACGAACGAATAAAACAATTCAAAAATATATTCAATACNTATACAAATATATTATCAATTAAAAGAAAAAACAAATTCAGCCGAAAGTAATAATAAATAATTGGGAAAGAAAAAATACAAATAGTACCTATTTAAAACGTGGCACTGCCAACGGTGAATGAATATCAACATCGAAAATTAAATTAATAATTTAAATAAAAAAAAAGTAAATAATAACGGAAAAATTACATCTTCATTTTTTTTACCTAATTACAAATAACACCTCTTCTGCAACTATAAATAGACAGACAGACTTATATGAGGAGGTACAAATCAGTAAAAACTAAACTAGTTGTTAAATTGTTACGTTTGATTTTTGGTTATTGCAGGTTCGAAAGCGATTTTACATTTAAACGATGAGAAAAAAATTATTATTTTCTGCACAGTCAGAATTGCTATTTGTTTAACTTAACAGAACCGGCCTCACGTTACATAATACGTTTAATGAATCGATTACTGTTTTTGTAAAATGTAAAACATGATAAGTTTCATTGTGTTCCTTGATGGTGTTACATTACCAAGCAGGAGTTGAAAATAAGGGTAGGCATTGCTTCTCTGTCAGTCAACTTGATCAATAGCAGTAAAAAGTTGCCAGAAAATTAAAAGAAAACAACTTTTTTGATAAAAGCAGTTCTATGAATAGATTAATATAATAAAATGTTAGATAAGGGTTAATTCATACGAAAATAATATAAATTCTCAACTAATTATTTAAATTGATTGGCAAATTTGAAAGAAAACTGATCAAGCTTTACACTATTTTAAGTTCCACTGCCAATATTTCAAATTAATCAATGAAAATTGAAAAAAAAAAATGTGAATTCATCAAATATTAATCGACATTGAAAGCATGAACAATGATGTTGAATTAAATGGAAATTCTGTTATGTTAGTTTGTCATGTGACATGTTAATAATTATCTTTAGATAAAAATCAGAGAGATTCAATGACATTAGCAACAGATAATTTTAATAAATGAAAACTTATCATTATTTAAAACACTTCACCTAAATTCATAAATTTGTATGCTGTGTTCGGGAACATGCCTCAAATTCAGGGACTGATACCTACAAGAAAAAGAAAAAAATATGAATTCACATAGAACTCTGGAAAAGTCAAAATAACTTACCATTCTGACGTTCGATGGTAATAATATCCTTCTATAGTGGCCTTAGATTTCTGAAAACATATGTAATAAAATCCAGCAAACGAAGCTCCACTAATGTCTTTGATTGTATGATCAGGCACAAGAAAGTGTTCCTTCCATCTCATGAATATAAAATCTGTCTCTGCAAGGGCTTTATAATCAAAGTTGTCCGAGTTAAATGTCTTTGCATACTGTGAGAATGACGAAAATTTGCTCTATAAAATACATGGAGATATAAAAAATTTTAGAGATATTAGGCATTGTCATTACATTTTGCTACAGCTCTCATACCCAGTGCTTTCGGTCAACTTCCTCATCTGCATCCCATTTACGTGTTAAGAATGGATACTTCTGACTAATGATTTCCCCATCGAAAAACGTCGTAAGGGTCGGGTACTCATCGGTTAGGCCGTTTATTTGTAAATATCCACATAGGTACGAGTTCTCTTCATCCACATGCTGTAATAGACATGACACCATATTTCAAAAAAAAAAAACAAGATCCTATTTTTAGTGGTGAAGTTAGAACTTGAGAGCAATTGCGAACTAGTATTTATAATAATATAATTTTATTTTATCAAATTGAAATACGCCAAATCATCTGTTACAAAACAAAGAAAATTTCTAACCTGTAAAACAACTTCCACTTCGTATGAATTCCCTTTCGACTTTTGGAAGCCTTGAAATCTGGAGCCGTTGTACAATAAGGACTTGGTTACACCAGGTTGCTTCGAATTTGCTGGTGGCGGAGGTATTATATCCACTTTAACTGGCATATTTCACATTTATCTCGATAAGATTTGAGCTTAACGCTCCTAAAACACTTCCAAACAATGCAAAAGACTTGCAAATATGGCTTCTAGTTTCTTTCTATTGCGTTTGAGGAACAGATTGAACAAGGACGTGGCGAGAGTGGGAGAATGATAAACTGCGAGAAGTATGTGGAGTGCGACAGAGAAATCTAGAGCTTCCTGACTTTCTCAAATTTAGCAGCTAATTAAAGAAATTTCCATATACAAGGAACATTCATAAAGTTTGGGAAAAGTTCATTAAAATTAAAAAAGCATTTAATTTTATTCAAGAAATTTAACAATTACGCGTCAACAATACAATGGTTGAAAATATTTCCATGTAGGCATTTTTTGTGTTTAAAAACTATATTATTTCTAGTTATGGGAGCTATGGTTTTTACTGTACAATACAATAAAAACATTCTGTATTTTAAGTTATTTATTTAAAAATGAATTTTACGAATTACTTGTTAGTTTTTTGCTGTTTTTATAGTGTTTAAATGAATTTTATGTTATAATCGAAGAAGTTATAATTTTCGTAATATAAAATTTAATAATTTTAACTTTATTAAGTTGTTACATGGTCAAGAAATATATTTAGGGTATACTCGGCTCTTTACTTTTAGAACGTACTTGGTATTATTTAGATGTTTATCCCCCCTCTTGCTGAGACTGTGTGACGTTGTCGTCTGTAGGGATCTGTCGCGCATTCGCGGTCAACTTCAGTTCAATTTGTGGACTCGTGTAAGTTGTGCGGATGATTTTGTGTTGTGTAAATAAAGAATGGCGAATCTGCGACAAACACCTTTAACTTGCAGTGGTCATACTCGTCCAGTGGTTCATTTAGATTTTAGTGGAATTACAGAGAGCGGTTACTTTTTAATTTCAGCTTGCAAAGGTAAGTGTTTTCCATACTTTACATTTCGTAGGTATTGTAACCTTGTTTAGTGTTATTGGTTTCCTTGGCCTGGTTTTTTGAATTCTTAAGATCAACCTTTGCTGTTGCTGTTGATGTGTTTAAATGTTTAATTCTTTGGTAGATGGAAAACCAATGTTACGTCAAGGAGACACAGGCGATTGGGTTGGTACGTTTGAGGGACACAAAGGGGCTGTTTGGGGGGTGGCTTTGAATAAAGAAGCAACGAGGGCTGCTAGTGGAGCGGCAGATTTTACGGGAAAAGTTTGGGACGCAATCACTGGCGAAGAATTACATTCATTCCAACACAATCATATTGTTAAGAGCGTTAACTTTTCCAAAGACAGTCATAAACTTGTAACTGGGAGCAATGAGAAACTGGTAAAAATCTTTGATCTCAACAAACCTGATGCAAGTAAGTAATATTATTATGTCTAATCACTTGTACACGTGTTAGGTTTTAAGTTAAGTATTGATTAAGTACATAGATGTTTTTAAGACTCATTTTATCTTATCTCATCATAAGACTAAAGCAGTAAATAAATAACACATTCTTTGCATAAAAAGTAAATATGTGTATTGTTTATTTGCTGGAATTTAATTTTATGAAGTAATTATATGTGTACATTGCATATGACCATAATCCATTAATATTTTATGTTATTGAGAAGTTATTCTAATTTCTCGAACATATTCCTTTTTAATTAATACGCCCTGTAAGTGCCTTTGTTTGTTCGGGTAATTTCTAGTTAGCTGTTGAAATTTTATCACCTTGCACTTATGATGTTTTAATTTTTTAATTTTATTCGTGTCTGGTGCAGCCTTGATGCAGGTGACATTGACTTTGTTTTTATGCATTGCATGCAGACAAGTATGAAAAAAAAAATAACGTGAAGGTGAACTGACTGTCTCTTTTGTGTCCTATAGTTGTTTATTAAGTTAAAGGAATAAAAAATGCTAATTAAGTAGAGGACTGGAACTGGAATTAATTTTCACCCGGTTGTTTACTTGTAAAGTCTTATTTCCTTGAACGTATAATAAGAAACGGAAATACACAAAAAGCATGTCTCTGAAGGTCGGTTTAATTAATTATTTCAGATCCTGCAGTGTTTAGTGGACACACGTCTGGAATAAGGCATGCATTGTTTTTCAGGGATGATGCCCAACTTGTGTCGTGTGCTGACGATAAAACGTTGAGGGTGTGGGATCGAGCATCTGGAAAGGTAAACGTTTATTTATTACATTTTATAAAATAAGGCAGAATAATTTACATTCTCGGCTGTGTTAATAAAATAAATAGACAGTTTTATGGTTTGTATTTTTGCAGGAGGTGCAGAAGATCGACTTTTCATCTATCCCAAATAGTTTGGAGGTGTCTAGGGATGGCACGGTAATAACAGTGTCTCATGGTAATATAGTGACGTTCTTAGATTCGCTTTCATTAAATATGATAAGGGAGTATCCTCTTCCAACCACTGTTAATTCTGCCTCCTTACATCCGGATAAAAGCATCTTCGTGGCTGGTGGAGATGATTTCAAAATGTACAAGTTTGATTATACAACAGGCACCGAAATTGGTACGTTATTCAGGAATAAAAAGCCGCACTTATCTGCAACTCTTACACGATTTATTAATTTCTACAGTTGGGAACTTACAATAGAATTGTCAGATGATTTTGTGCTATTTGTTGCTTCATAACTGTTACTATTTTATTATTTCATTTTAACAACTGAAGAAATTGTTTACATTCTCTTGCATTTTCAGAGTCTTTTAAAGGTCATTTTGGTCCGGTACATTGCGTAAGGTTTTCCCCTGACGGTGAGTTGTACGCTTCCGGATCCGAAGATGGCACTTTGAGACTTTGGCAAACTACAGTGGGTAAAACATACGGATTATGGAAATGTATTGATACCCAGCAACTAAACCACGAACCCCTTTCCCCACCTAAGGAAGTTCCTGCGAGTTAAACTGGACGGAATCGTTATTTTTGTTTTGTTGGACTGATTAATTAATAATATATTTACCAATCACGGTTTTTGGCCAGAAAAAAATATAACAAAAAAATTGCGACCAGTGACATCCCGAAGTTATTATTGTGATTGTGCGAAGTATTAATAAAAAGCAAAAGCCGGAAATATTAATAGTATTGTTATTAAAAATTAAATTATGAACTAAATAAATGGTATTTCTGTAAAGGGTTCTTTATTTTTAGTATAGGTACCTCTATTCTTTTTATTTATTGCTGAGGCTTCATATTTACCTTATTTTTTATTTGTCTACAGGCTTTTAGTGGTTAAATATTTCCCAAGATAGGCACTTCATATACCGTAAACTTAATTGGGTGTTGGGCATTAATCGTAGCAGACTTGGGAATGCTGAAGTTCCTGAAAGAATTCCTTTCCTTAAGCCTGCTCTGCTAGTTATTATTATTCTTTTGGAGAGGTAAGATAGAACATTAACATCAATATTTTGCCTTTAATTTAACATTGGATAACTGAAATGATTGATAGTTTTGATTGTGAAAATACTTTTTTCATATAAAAATAGCTCAAAAAACTATTGCAACCTATAGTCTGTAGAAAAAAAGTAGCAATAATTTATACTTCAGAGTATTTATGTACTTGTTCATAAGGATATTAGATTTTCAACTACAATTTTAAAATCTAAAATTGAATTTTATTGCAAATCAAACATCACTGTTGTGTATGTATAATATCGTGTTTAAAATTGTTAGGTCTGAACTCCCTCCTACAATCTTTCCAAACAAAAATATTTTAGTAATTTTTAACAATTTTAACACAATATCGACAATCTTGCAGTCCCAAATCATCATAAAAACTTTTTTTATTTATTTATCACTAATTACTTCAATATTTGTTCGTTTCTTAAAGGGTAGAAAAACAGTGTTACTTTTTGTGTATTTGTATATATAACTTTTGTAATTTGTGTGAGAAATTTGCATGCAACCGGATTATCAGTAATGTGTATAAGGTTGCATATGCAATGTTCTTTCTTTAACTCATCTGACATTTTTCTTTTATTTATGATCTATTGCTTGAAGCAATTCCTTAGAACAGTTCAGTTAATCATAGTTAAATGTGTTATAAGTTCCCATAAGCGTGGAAAATTATGTCGCTCATCTGTGGTGACTGCATTTCACGATTATCTATGTTCTTTTTATGTATTTCTTTGGCATTAATTGACATAATTGCATATAATTGTTTCCGGTTTGGCTTCGAGAGTTTGGACGAGGTAACGCCAAATCTCCATTTTAATTAAGTTAATAATTTACTATTTTACTTGCTTTTCAGTGCTGATTTTTATTATTTTTCATGTTTAATTGATATAACAGTGTAATTAATTAATTATTCTTATATTTCTACAGTTTATCCGGTAATTGTGGGAGAGAGCATTGGAGTCCATCTCGGCCCTAATGAAAAAGTCTACTGTAATACAGATATTGCTGGACTTCTTTGTTCGCTATTGAGTTTTTACCTTCGACGATTTTGCAGTGAATAAGGTGAGAATACTTGTGTTACAAAGAAAAAGACTCGTTATTACTTTAATATTTTATTACCCACATTTTTCCATAAAGGATAAATCCAGTTTTTTCTAATTTAGTTAAGTTTTTCATGCTTCATTTATTTGTTAGTGTGATTAATTTGTTTTTCTTGTATTCCTACAGATTGATCGGTAATCAAGAAAGAAAGAGAGAGAGAACACTGGAGTTCATTGTGACCCTATTAAAGAAGTCTACTGTGATGCAATTCTTCCTGGACTTTTACACGTTCTCTGTTGATCTTCCACATGGACGATTTTGCAGTAAATTAAGGTGAGAATACTTATATATATCTTCAGATAACTTCAATTTCTTAGACATTTATAACTTGCTTCAATAGACAACTTTTAAACAACGTTTCATAAATGGCAGATGCAGAATTAATGTGGAACAGATTTTTCCATGAGTGTGCATGTTACTGATTTACTTGATTTAAAAATGGTAATTAATTACTTTTTCTTGCCTGTTTNCTATGGGGTCATCTTTGTCTTCTCCAACGTCGATCTGAAACAGATACAGTGGCAAACAGATTAATAAAGAGCAATTAAAATTGATTATATCAAGTATTCTCACCTTAATTAATTGTAGAACGTAACATTCTAAAGTTTACAGGTGTGAAAAATAAACCAACTCCAGGAGAAATACTGTAGCAGAGAATTTGTTATTTCAGTGGAATTCAAATAAATATCCAGTTGCTCTCACTCATGGGTTGAAAATTAACTGCATGATGTTACAAGGCGAAGACGAAACAGCAAAGCAACAATATAATCCACGAAAGACCACACCCATGTAGACATTGGCTGTTTCAGTATAACCAAACTGAACATTAATTCTCTCATTTATTGTATAACCTGCAGAAATGGACAAAAAAAACATATTAATTATACTTATAATTAAGAAACACAAATAAAAACGCATCAAAAAGCAAGTAAAAATAGCTAAATTATAAAATAACAAGCGTTACTTTCACGCCATTTTACATTACAACCATAGATCACGACGACAATTTACGATGCAGACAATAGAAAAAGATTAAAACGAAACTCCATAGATCAATGATAAATGTCAATTTCTTCTGTGGAAAATAAAAACTGTCAAGAGATACATACATGTAAATTGTTAACAGAAATTTCATAACAGATTAATAAAGAGCATTTAATATCAATGAAGTCATGTATTCTCACCTTAATTAATTGTAGAAAATGGCGTTCTAAAGTCTGCCAGTGTGATGAGTAAACCAAACTAGGAGGGATACCACTGCAGACAAATTGTTCTACTAGTCGCTTCCAATCAAAAAGCATCGGTTGTTTCAGTAGCATCAAAATTAACTGCAATTCCTTCTCATTTGTGGGACAATCTATATAGAAACAGGCAAGAAAAAGTAATTAATTACCATTTTTAAATCAAGTAAATCAGTAACATGCACACTCATGGAAAAATCTGTTCCACATTAATTCTGCATCTGCCATTTATGAAACGTTGTTTAAAAGTTGTCTATTGAAGCAAGTTATAAATGTCTAAGAAATTGAAGTTATCTGAAGATATATATAAGTATTCTCACCTTAATTTACTGCAAAATCGTCCATGTGGAAGATCAACAGAGAACGTGTAAAAGTCCAGGAAGAATTGCATCACAGTAGACTTCTTTAATAGGGTCACAATGAACTCCAGTGTTCTCTCTCTCTTTCTTTCTTGATTACCGATCAATCTGTAGGAATACAAGAAAAACAAATTAATCACACTAACAAATAAATGAAGCATGAAAAACTTAACTAAATTAGAAAAAACTGGATTTATCCTTTATGGAAAAATGTGGGTAATAAAATATTAAAGTAATAACGAGTCTTTTTCTTTGTAACACAAGTATTCTCACCTTATTCACTGCAAAATCGTCGAAGGTAAAAACTCAATAGCGAACAAAGAAGTCCAGCAATATCTGTATTACAGTAGACTTTTTCATTAG